GCCAGACTAAGACTCAAAATAACATCAACACGCTGGGAAAGTGGCCCTTAAGAATGCAAAGAAAAAAACATGAATATAAAATGAAGAATACAAAATTGGCATTATAGTAATACCAGGAAATGCCTCTAGATGCCCGTTTTCATGGGCTTCTCTCTACCAATAATTTATATATCTCTTTCTTCCCTCAAGACTCAGTTTAAAACTAACCTTATTGAAAATAAAGGCCTTGTCTCCATACCTTGTCTCACTATTATTCAATCATTATATCCTCTTAGGTATAATGCCAACAATTTCATCTGTTACATTTTTTTTCCCACTTAATCATTTGTTGCTTTGCTGTTTTTTTCCTAATTCTATAAATTTCACTTTTAAACCCAACTAAATTGAAAGTTTCGTTGAGCCAAACCATGGTTTCAATCTATTTTATTTTCTTGCATTTCCTTATTGAGCTGCGTAGTTCACACAACACAATTTATTATATGTATTTATTTATTATCTCTTCTCCTGCCTAGGCTGAGGTTCTCTTCCATGGAGGGAGTTTATCCCATAAGGAGGTGACTAGTAGGCACAGAATAAGCATTTATTGACGTAAAATAAAACATGAGTTAATAAATTATATTGTACTGCATTAAAAAATAAAAACAATAAACCAGACATAAATATTAAAAAGGTGTCTTGTACAGACCCATTAAGATAACTTCTCCTTTATGACTATAGTTTCTTCCTTTGTTTTATGAGTTGTGGTACCTCACATTTAATAAGTACATTTAAGAATTAAATATTTTGTACTAATATTTTTTGACTGAAATATTTTTTGACTTAAAAAGTTGCCAATGTATTTGTTCCTGGATTAGTGATAATATGAAGTTGAATTTACATATATATATATATATATTTTTTTTTTTTGCTGAGGAAGATTGGCCCTGGGCTAATATCCATGCCCGTCTTCCTCTACTTTATATGTAGGACGCCTGCCACAGCATGGCTTCATAAGTGGTGGATAGGTCCATGTCCAGGATCTGAACCTGTGAACCCCGGGCCGCCAAAGCGGAGCGTGCGAACTTAACCACTACGCCAGCAGGCTGGCCTGAATTTATATAATTTTTAAACATTACACTGTGGTATGATTTGGAACATTTTCTAATCTCACAGAATGACAATCAACATCAACAATTTTTTCTTTAATCACATGTTTTCTATCCTGACCAATTTTCTTTTCAATATAAGAGAACAATGATATAAATAAAAATAATATATATAAATGTTATAAATATAATATAAATATTAAACCATGTCAGTGTCTTAGCTGAATATGAAAATATTATTTTAAATTTTTTGAAGATTTATACTCTCTTGAAACTGTCATATTATTTTCTTGAAAATTTCCAAATATTAGGAAATTAGTGGTCCAAATTGAGAGAAGAATAATACAAGTTTAAGAATTTTTTTTTCTGCCACTTACAGGTTCTTACTGTGTGTAGAGTAGAGATACTTTAAAAAATATATTGCTTGTCTAATAATTTTCTCACATTCAAATCACTTAGTCAAAATACCTGGCTCACACCTATTTTCTTTTGCAATATTTTCTTCTGAAACTATCTAGGTACAATCCATTCAATGAGTAGCTCTTTTGATCTGAAACTAGTGATTTGCTAACATTTTTATAATATATGTCCATGTATATACATTTATCAAGTCTTTTAAATTTGCTTGTCTTCACATGTTCTTGGGAGTTAGTTAATGGTTGTTTTCAAGTTGATTCAGTAGCATTTAAAGTGATTCATTTGAAGAAAGAAAGGGATTAAAATTTCTTAAAAACTGTTCTGCATGGTGTAAACCCTAGACACAGGAACTCATTCATCATTCTCATCTGTCCTGTGTGGTTGTTGTATGCTTTTTTTTATAGATGCATCTTTAGTTGAGGAAACTGGGTCTCAGAGAGATGAAATAGTTTACCACAAGATTACAGGATTTGAATTTAGGTCTAGGTATCTCCAGACTGTAGGTTTTCCACTACATCACACTAACTATTAGTGTAGAAACCAGAAAGAAGTTTACACCATAAGGGAGAAGACATAAAGTCTAGTTATGATTATTATCATCTCTCCTACGTACCTGAAAGTTCAATTTTTGTGTGCAGTCTTGGCCTACTAGAACAGGAAACTGAAAACCATTAGTAATGTCGATTTATAGACAGGGATCATTTATAAGTTTAGTGTAGTCTAATTGTAAATTGTCTAATTGCATCAATTAAAAATTATTAAGTTATGCTAGTAATTTTATAGATGAGGAAATAAAGACACAAAAGAAAAAAGAAAGAAAAGAAAGTAAATGGGATTCAATAGATATCTGGATAACATGACCTTGTCATTGTTCTTTATTTTAGGATGTTCTGCCAAGCAAATTTGGTTATAATTTTCATTCTTTATAAGAGTCAGTTATAGAACTATAATTGAATATAGAAAAATGGAGAATATTCTCCCATGAATCTCATTCTTGAATTAATTTTCTACTTATTAAAATCATATGTTCCAACCTCCATTTCAATTATATCACCTTGCCTGTTAGGTCTTCCTACTAGATAAATCTAGAATGCTTCCCTTCCTTTGTCTCTATTGCTGCTTATCCAACATCGTCCCCATTCCTCTTCAGCAATATTAAAATGCTTGTAATTTCCAGAAAACACCAGGGAGCTTTGTACCTTCACGCTATATTACTGTGCACTCAGTTTGAAATATTCTTTGTTCATTTGCTCTCTTGATAAATATGGCTTATTTTTCATGACATACTTTTTCGTGTGTGAACCACCCTTCAAATCCCTCCTTTAACTCTCCAGATAGATTTAAGCATTCTTTCCCACTGTGCTAATAACGAACTTTAAATGTGGTTTTATTATTAGATTGCTTATTGTGTATTTGACTTGTTTTATTACGTGTCAATCTCTCCTGCTACTCTGTGACTTCATTGTGGGGACAAGCATTCAAAAAATCAGTTTCATGAATTAACACAGTAGCAGCTGTATTATGTTTAACACAGAACTGATGGACCACAGAGAAATACCTTGAAGACCACAATTGGTAAATAGTATAAGAGGCAAATGTCCTGTAGTAATTTGAATTTCAAACAATTGATTGCAAATAATAGGAAAGATAATGACTATTTCAAAAAAAAAAATATATATATATACTTTGTTTTCAATGAATTTTGTCATATCCAATAATAACATTTTTAGACACTTCAGGGAGACAATATAATCTATTACTCGAAAAGCAGCCATAAATTTAATTATATTTTATTTAGTCAAAATTAATTAGATGGACAAATTAAAAAAGCTATAAAAGTTTTATATCCTAAAATAATAACTACTATTTATTTAAATTATTACTATCTAAATTTATTTTGGAAGGAAAGATTAGGAAAATAAACAAACCTATTTTGTCAAAATTGATAGTTTATTACATATTATAAGTTTGAATTCAGTTATAATTAAAAGATTGCATTTCTTATTCGAAGATTTTTCAGACATAATGTTTGAGAATGTTATCCTCAACATTCTCAGTGATAACAATCACTGTTAATTAGGTGAACTTGTAAAGAAGAAAAAAAACCTAGCTTTCAAACCAATATCACAATAAATAGGATATCTTTAGAGTTGATTTCAAGGCCTTTTAGGGAATGACCCATTAATCAATGTGACAAATCTTATATACTACGTTTTCAATTTTCCAGAATTATTTATTGATTCTTAGACGGTGACTGGGAAATGAATGTTGAAATAGCTCCATAGGAGTTAAAGTTCTTTTCTTTTCCCCTCTATGAATTCCAGACCATGCTTCAGTGGTTCATATGTCTGTAATGTTATACCAGGCCAATATATGCTGCAGTAATTAATGTCCATGTAAAACTTGACCTATTGATACGGCTACTTTATGCCTTAGATTTTCTGAAAGTATTTGCATTTCTTCTGTTCTGTCCTTTGTCCTCATAAGTACAATAACCATTCTCACACCTAATTTTGGATCAGAAAATATGATAACTGTCACCTATGAGGATATCAATATTTCACCCCTGTAGGAAAGATGACTTGTACTAGTAGTTTGTTTGTTACTAGCAGTTTAATGTAGGTAGTTTTCTGTTTGCTATTTATATATTAAAACTCTTTGCTTATATGATATCTTCAGTGAGGAATTAAAGTGGCTTTAAAATGCAAATTGCTTAAACTTTAAAGTTAAATATTAAAGGGGTATGCGACGATGATCATTGTTTTGGTTCCGGAAATTACATCAACTATAAATGAGATGTTACACACATAAAACAATTTTTGGGGGCTATTGGCAGAGTCATTCCAGGTTTTTCTCCAAGGCCTTTTTTATTTCCTTGATCTTAAAGCAGAATAGGTGGGTCCTGACCACTTGAGACAATCCCTCAAACCTTTGGTTCATTTTTACCATAAAGAAATAAAGGTAAGCACATCCTTCTTTTGGAAAATAAGATATTATTACACGCCATAACATGGACCTCCAAAATTTTAAAAATGAAGAATTTATGCTGTTAGTTATTAGTTATTTTATCCCTTGTGAATTTTTTTCAAAAATTTTTAAAAATTTTATTCAAAGATTTATTCCACATTGAGCTCCATGATTTACAAAAGGAAAACCAAAATGAACTTGAAATCCAACAGTATATTTAAGTAGGATTTCTGTAGGGTTAATTTTAGGGCTATTTAATTTGAAACAGTAGACGCTATTTTTCGAGAGCCTGCATTGTTGTGCTAAGAAAACAAAAGGATTGGTCTGGCACGTAGTCAGTGTTGCAAAACATTTGCTGAATCATTAAAAGACAGAGGATCATCTTAAGGAACGTCCCTTGGAGTTTATGTGGACATTTTCTATATGAATCCATAGTGATAATTTGATTTCCCGTTAGATATATTTAGTCCTTTAACTGGAAGTAGATTTGCTAGGAGATGAATATTTACTATGCTGGGATGTTTTACTCACCTCTTTAGGGGCGTTAGCTTCAATGAATTCAGAATAAATGATCTTGGCCTTAGAAGCAATTTTTTCTGCACTTTCTGTTTTCTTGAAGTCTTCACAGGCAAGCCAGAACTCAACATTTTCTTCACTAAACTCTGATTTTAGAAATGTCCGAAAAGCATCTAGACCAGCTATAAAATATGTAAGACAAATTATGCGTATCATGCAGTGCAGTAATATGACCAAAAGGAGTACATTGTATAATGTGAGCATTTATTGAGTATTCAGTAACAAATATTTATTATCCCTTTAAATATAACATTCATGTTTTAGTTTTTACCTTTAGAAGCCTTGTTTTGGACCAGTGATCATTAATATAAAGTATTGTACCTGTTTCTCCACTTAGCTCCATTGACAAAGAAAGTCGGTACGTTTTCTTTCTAGATCTGAAAATTCGAGGAGTATATTTAGGAGAAAGTCTTAATGACAGTTACTTCACAGGAAACCCCTATGGACTTGGCCTTTTAGTCCCGTTAGACTAACCCCGGGTCAAGTTAACGATATTATACTAACTTCCGAGTAAGAGTATCTTTGTTGCTATGAGTTGATGAGAAAACGCAATTTGAAGCCAAGGAGTCGTTTGTGTTGGTTTGGGCTTAAAGCAAAGCAGGAAGGGCTGGCATGTATTAGTTTTAGGTGAATATATTGGCCAACTCTAATCTCTAAAGCAAGAAAGTAACTGGCAAGATATTTGGTGTGAATGCTTCTCCTGTCTATGTGGTGATAGGCAATTGTAATTCAATAAAGCAAATAAATGGGCTTTTCCCCAATGTTGCCTTAAGCAAAACACTGGTACCTCCCATTCTCTCTTGTGATACCTGCTCTAACTTAGCCTGTTCATGATGTATTCATCCTGCTCCCAGGGGTTCTGCTGAGCACGTATTTCTCTAGAAACTTTAGACCAGGGACTGCAAATGAACCCACTTACTTGCAGGCTTATTTGCTTTGCCTCAACTATTACATGCATTATTTTTTTTTTTTTTTTTGACTGAGGAAGATTCACCCCGAGCTAACATCTGTTGCTAATCTTCCTCTTTTTGCCTCAGGGAAGATTCTCCCTGAGCTGACATCCATGCCAATCTTCCTCTATTTTGTATGTGGGTCACTGCCACAGCATGGCTGTCGACAAGTGGTATAGGTCCACGCCTGGGAAGTGAACCTGGGCCACCAAAGTGGAGCACGCTAAACTTAACCACTAGGCCATGGGGCTGGCCCCTATACGCATTTTTTTAATTGAATAACAACTGGTAGTGTTTGCAGCCTGGAATTCCCATAGGTCTCATCTCTCCCCATTATCTTTCAGCCAGTTTTACGCATTTATTGTTCCTTGCTCTCGTAGATTGTTGAGTTTGTGACCACCTGTTTAGACCCTTCCCTTCTCTACTTTCCTCCTCAAAATGTGCCCTGAAATATTCTTCTTTGGTATACCTGGAGCTCATTCAAGAAGATAATTAATTCTTGCTAAATATTTTAAGGCTGAGTATGGTTAAGAGTGTGCCTCTAGTTAGAGAGCAGGTTAGGAAGAGCATTATTAGATTTCCGCAGTTGCATGAACTAAGCCAGTAGCTTAAATTCGTGTTACTCAGCTTCACAGTTTGCACCCTTCTGACAGTAGTATCTGTTTATAAATGAGGTTGTGTCTCTGGAGGAAAACATACACCCTAGCTTTTGCCACTCAGAAGGATTTGCCTTCCAAAACGTGGGTGGTTTTCTCCCCCGCCTGCCACGAGGGCTTCTTTGCATGGGCTCATAGCAGCTCTTCCCTGACAGCATTGTCAGGGAGCTGATCCTTCAAGTTCCAAAGGAGGGAGAAATAAATTTATGGAGGATCAGAGGAAAGAAAAACTTGAGTAGGGAAAAAGAAAATATGAGAGAAAGTTTATGGAAAAGGGGCTCAAGTCGGTTTGTAGGTTGCTCCAGGTAGGAAGCAAAGTGAAGTTCTGTGACAGAAAATGGAAAAGGACTTCATGGAACAGGACTAAAGTGTCTACAAACACTGGATTAAAAAGATTTAGTGGGGCTGCGCCATGGCTTAGCAGTTGAGTGCACGCGCTCTGCTACTGGTGGCCCGGCCCGGATCTCAGGCGCACACTGACGCACCACTTGTCCAGCCATGCTGAAGCAGCGTCCCACATACAGCAACTATGACAGGATGTGCAACTATGACATACAGCTATCTACTGGGGTTTTGGGGAGAAAAAGGGGAGAAAAAAGAAAAAGGAGGTGGATTGGCAATAGATGTTAGCTCAGGGCCGGTCTTCCTCAGCAAAATGAGGAGGATTAGCATGCATGTTAGCTCAGGGCTGATCTTCCTCACACACACACAAAAAAGAGAGAGATTTAACAATGTTTTTTATATCATTTAAAATAGAGTTGAAATAACAAGTCATTGCAAAAGGTTATCAGATGTCAATTAAAATTCTCGGTAGAAATATTGGACAGGGTTGATGTCATTAATACATGAGCACTATAAAAAAATTCAGTTAACTGCACATTTCTTGTGTTTAAAAATACATCCAAGAAACTTCTATGACACAAATTTAGATTATAAAAAACCTCTTAGTAACACTCAATTAAAATTTTCCATCAGTCTGGTCCAAACAATGGTGAATTTGAGGGGTCTAAACAGAATTTATGCTAAAATCTATTTTATATAGAGGATAAAGCATATAATACTGGAAGAATGTTGTAGATTCATGTCTGGCAATATTTTGTATGTGTGTCATTAAGGCATACAAAGCTTTCTCCCAACGAGGATTATCAAAATGCACCCCAGAGAGATGGGAAGTTAGAGATCAAGAAACAATTATTATTTTCTCTCATCCTGCAATTTTAATGTAGGGCTATTCTGAGCTGACAATTATCATCATCTTTCCTCTTCCCATTACTAGGTTTAGGATACAATGGAACAGAATAAGCAACTGAAACCTCCTAGTTATCTCTGTCTTGGACACACCACTTTATCGAACTACTCTTCTGTTCTATATACACTATTTGAATGTTCGAAAGATGTCAAGTGCCTTTGGAATAACGTCCTACGTACAACTAAAAATCATATTATCTGAGGGCACACTCAGGATGGAACGGCTACTAGTTAGACTCAACAGGGGCTGACAGTGGAATAAGTCAGCAATAGACGATGATGAAACATACACTAACGCCCATGCCCAGTAAGTGCAACACATATCCTCAAGTCAACAATTAGTTTGGTGAGTTAACTGTTAAAAGCATTAAAAGGCATGTAAGCTATTTCTCTCGTATTATAAAATGCAAAAGCCAAACAGCTGTTCAGATGAATCTATTACTTTTCTATTTCGTGTGGGCGTGAGATATAAAATCCCAGGTGGGACGCAGATGGAAGCATTTGCCTCCATCTCAACACATTCCATGCCTCTGTCCTGTGGTGCTGTCAGCTAGAACTCCCCTGCTCTGGAGCCACCAAGTCACCATCTGCAGAGACACTTTCTGGAGGCTCTTAGCAAACCCGATCTGTCCCACTGGTTATATTTTTAAGGAAAAAAGAAACACTCCATTCAAAACTTACAATAATGCAATCCCATATCCCTGATGTCTTTATCATGTGTCTTTAGTTGGATTCTAGGAATAATGTGGATTATTTTATGTCTATGCTTTAGGAATTAGTTATTTAAGAATCATAAAATCAAAGTATAATTTCATCCAATTCAATCTAACTTTCCCCATGAATAAACAGCTATGAAAAATTTATTCAGCTTTATCATATTTAAAATTTTTCTAATATTCTAACATTTAATTTATGAATTTAAAATGGAAATGCCATTTGATTAGTGCAAACAGTACTACATTTTAAACATTTTCTATATATGCCTCTATAATGTCATTTTTTTCCCCCAAATGAGAGAACTGCTGCAAAGCAGGATTATTTATAACAAAAACAGAAGTTCTAAATACCTTTGTAAATGGCTATTTTGTATCAAATTCTGGATATTTTATTTATAATTGGCCAAAATGACCTTATTGAACCCTCATATCAAATATAAATATATATCCATACATGTACATATTAATATACACACATATATTTAAATATGTTTTTGTATTCACTAAAAATGAGAATAACTCAGTTGAAATAAATATCTTAAAAATTTTATTTCAGCTTACAAGACATGAAAAACAAGTAATTTATTTAAAATTTCAACTTTTTAATAGTTTGTATGTTTCTTTCAACTTGTAACAAAGATAGTCATCATATACATCAAATGATAATGATTCTAAGGAAATGACAAATTTTTCACTTCTTATTTGGATTTTCTTTTTGTTTTAATATTTGCAGTTTCTATAATCTTGTCTTATTGTAGGCCCAACCTAATTCCATTTAGACTTTGGACCTCTATAAATTTATGTGACTGTTGGGAATCTTATACTTCAATTATTAATCAAACTCATACTATATGTCTACAACTTTCAGAATTTAACGATTTACTTTTAATTATTGTGTTTTTAAGCCTAGTATTAGTTGGATCTTACCTTGGTTGGTTAAAAGTGTGTCCATATTTTCAGACCACGCTGTTGCTTCTGTCGTTGGTGACCTGTAGAAACAACAACTACCCTTGACGATAGCATTGTGATCTTTTTCTTCTATAACCTATAGTAATATTTGAGTTATGTGTATTTGTTAAATTACATCATTTAAATGAGCTTTGCACCATTAATCAAACTGCAAAAGGTTGACATAATGTTTTCTCAGTGGACAGCAATGGTAACACAAGTGTGATGTAATTTGACAGTGTTAATATTTGCAAACTCTTGAATTCTAATAGAGGCACAAGAGAGATATTGCTCATGGGTCTATGGAGTGTAGTGAATTTCTTCTCGGCTATAAATATACTGTTACTTTATGTGGTATTAGTTTATTCCTGAAAAGTTATCATGATAGTGACAGTGATGAATGAACTATTTTCTAAGTTTTCACAGCATACAAAATCATCTGTTTCATGATTATGCATCTCAAAACAGTTGAAAAAAAGTTTTGATTAAAGATTTCTAACATGCGATGATCTTGAAAATGTTTATTTATAGTATTTTGAGAAGTCTTTACCCCACTCTGAGACAGCCTTTATTTCTCCTTAGATTGGTATGCTTCCAATTTTGGGTTGATTTATTTAAATCTAGGAATCTGTCAGGATAGAATAATATCTTTTCCAAAGTAGTCAAAAAATTTATAGACTTAAGTCTCCTGAAGAAGGTATACTTTTGGGGATGTGATGTAGAAATGATAAATCAGGGTTAAGATATAAACTTTCTGAGATGAAAATATATCATGCATTATTCCCCTTAATAAACAAAGATCCTGATGAATAAGCTCCCTTCCATAGACAGCATCTGCTGCCTAGAAAAAAAAATCTTGGATTATGTAGTTGTGATGTGCAAACGACTTAGTTATGGAAAGGGATGATCTAATTAAGGTTTCTATTAAGATGATAAATAATAAAATAGAGCCTCATCTCTTGTCATTCTTATAAAATTTTACCTTTGCATATCAAGGTGACTAATCTTAAATCTAGTAGTATGAAGTGATCTCTTTGCTTTTATATTCTGTTACTTCCTATAATTTGTTGCAGTTTTTATAATTTGTATCAGGATGGATTGTGCTCCCTTCTGCTGTTCCAGTTGTAGTTGTATTTTCGGATAATGACGACTGTCCTCATAGAGGATACAACAAGGAGCTACGTGACAGGGAATTCATTTTGCCATCTTTCTTTTTTTACACATCCTATCTCAAATTTTCTTCCCCAATACTGGGCAGCTGATTTTCCTTTTTCCCTCGTTTTCCTAAATCTTGGGAATATAAGATGACCAGTGAAACCATTCTGGAATGGTGGTTTTTCATTCAAGAAGACATTTTAAAAGATTTGGGTTGTTCAGTCTCTATCTTTCATAAATGGAGAATAGGACCCAATTCTAGATTTAATTTTACTTTGAAGAGCTCTTGTGCACTGTACAACCTACTAACTCTCATAAGCTTCTGTTATATTTTATATGACTCAAATATTAGGTCTTGTAGGAATTCTATCAAATAGTGCTAAAATGTTCATTTGATCACTTAAAATTCACATGTTTAAAAACGTTGTCTCTATTTGTAGATTGAAATTTGGTGGTTAGCAGGGTATTCAAATAAAAAGGTACTTAGTACCTATGGAGTATATGTTAACGAATATAGGGCAGAGAACAGTTCTGAGCCCAAGCCTGGCCACACAGTATACCTGTTTTGAATGAGGAAAGCCATCACAGAAAAACACTTAGAAATAAAATCTAGGCAAAATCTTTCAAGGGTAAACATACATTCCGCCGTTAGTATGTAATTCTCTGACGACGGAAAGATGTTACTTTCCAGCACCAAGAGCAGTGTGTCTGGTCAAAGAAATATTTGTTGAACATGTAAACAAATAGTGAATGAATGACCAAACCCCAAATAGTGGCAAATATTAAAGCCTTCAGTGGAAGTGTTGCAGTGGCTTTCAAGATGCTGGTAGAAGACAGAGACAAGGAGGTTATTGAAAGGTATAGGTGAATTGTATTAGCTTCACAGGGTGTTCTGGGCGAGGGAAGAGGAGAAATGATGTGAAAGCATCACTGGGGAGCAAAAGACCATGGACCTCACTCTCAACCTTGCTGTATGTGAAATTGGAAATGATGGAGAGCATCCGTTCTGGAAGTCATCAGGCAGGTCACGTCCTTCAAGGAGAGCCAGGTTTTGCTTAAACCCAAAGCAAAAGGAATATTCAGTGAAGAGCTTATTGAATGTAATGGAGTCTTTTTGGATTGGAAGTGTTCAAATAAATGGTAGCTATTCTTACTATTTTCATTAATGCAGGAAAATAATAAAAACAGAAGAAAGTCAGGTCTGGGAGAAGGTGTAGAACCAAGGGCAAAAAACCCCATAACGTTTTGAATTAGAGAGATATACTAGAATATTATAGATATTCTATAGGTATAGGCTATCATAGGTAATAGAATTAGAGATACTAGTATATTCTAGTATTATTTAAGGACAATGTTATAAAGGGAAAATTTGCCCTTCAGCTCTTTGAAGGAATACTTCTGCTGTGTGATAATGCCTGGCATGCTCTCAGCTCACTACTTTCTAACGAATTTCAAATTTGACTTGAAAGGTTCAATTTTGACTACCTGATATGATGGAAGGGTTGATGGTCATGCAGTATTTACTTTTCAGAAGTTAGGTGAATTACAACTATTTTAAGGAGTAATAGTGTTAATTTGCTGTTTAAATTTTTAAATTTTGTGTTGATTGCAAATTACACAGTCTGTTTTAATTCCATGTTACCAATGAGTAAAGAGAGTTAGAGATCCTAATCACTGGTGGGGTATCTCACATATATTAATGGGCGGAGTTAGAATTCAAACACAGGTGTGTCTGCTTGTAACCCAAACTCTTTTTACACTTCTTCCTAGAATGGATGAGTCAATACACATATGCTTGTACTTTGTTCACATTTTAGAACATTTATAATAAACACTTTGAAAGTGCTTTCTCTCTTTTATTGTACTTCACACAAATAGTTCCTCTAAATAATCGCTAAATTATGGTAATTGGCTACTTAATAGAAAGTTTTCAGAAGACAGAGTCTTAAATCTTGTACATTATCAAATGAAAATAGGACATTTCTTATGTTGGATGGGAGTGAGAAATATGTTTTATATTTTTAAAAATGCAACCATATAAATTTTAAGAAAGAAATCTATTGAATTAAAGTTGAGGAAAAAAGAGGGCAGCTGATTTAAAAATATACTGACTGGGTTGACTTTTACTTGACATGTGTTATGTTAAATAAATGAACAATATGCAACGCTGTCATTTCTCCCTTTTTTCCCCCTTTTGTTTGGATTTTAGTTCTAATTTTAACAGTGTTTTTGTCTGGCTTGCGTCATTTGTGTATGTGTGTGTATTTCTTGTATAATTGTGATGCATAATCAGAATAACTTTTTGTGTGTGTATGATTTGACATGAAAATTCACCGTGTTTCTGGAGCCAAAATCGCACTTAGCATTTCACGGGGTTTTGGCTGAATTCCTTTCTGTTTCCTTCATTAAGCGAGTGACATCAAGGCCAGCAGTCCCCATATTATGTGTCCGGAGAAGAGCCAGGCCAGATGGGAACTGCGTGAAAGCTACCAGTTATCTTGCTAATTGTGCCAGCTAGAACCAGTTGTAGTGCATTAAAAACAGTGGAATCCAACAACCTAGCTGTTCACAGTCAATTAGCAGTGTGCTGGAGAATGGGAAATTCAAGCAAGGAGTCCATGTGCTCGAGGAAGTGACAGCTGCTTCCTTATCCAGCATTTAATATCTATTTTCAAATTTCCCAATAAATATCGCAATAATGAATAATTTTTGCAAGGATCATGTAGCATATGTTACATTTCTAACATTTAATAATTTTGAAAAGCTTCCCATAAAGAGAGCTCAGTGGTTTTTCTCCACTTTATAACCTTTCTTTATCTTGGTAAGTACAGAGAATTAACTGCCAATGCAAACCACGAATTGTTGCCATATTTTAGAAACGAAGAAGGAATCAGCAGAGAAAAGAGAAACAATAAGTCAGGAAAAAAGACAACAATTAGCATACTTATCATAAATGATGGAAACAAAACGTCAAGACTAATGAAGACTCAAGTGTTTCATTTGTACATCTTCGGAGATAAAAATAGCTTTAAACAGTAACTCACTTCACTGGCATTTTTCGTTCCACTGTCTGACTGTCACAGATGATGCCGAATTTCTCTTTCTGACTGATCTTCAAGCTGAAGGTAATGTGACAGCAGGAACATTACAATTAGTATACAAATACCTATCTCCCGGGTTACAAATTGGCATTCTTTAAATCATGGTATTCTCAGCTTTTTTCATTTTGTTGTTCACTTTTCACTGGTCAAAACACTTAAACTTCCAAGTAACAAATAGCTCTTTGAATAAATGTGACATTTCTCTGAGTCTGTGGCCTAACTGAAATAAATTCCATTTGAAAGTTTGGTTTCTAAAGTTCACGTACATCCATTTACAAGACAACTATTGTTCACATGAGGGTAAATCAACTCAGAAAAAAATATAGTATATATGATTTTGCATTCACCTTTACGTCTCTAATCTGCCTAAAAGATCATTTTGTTTTCCTTCGTTCTTTGATTTTCAGAAAGTTTGAGGAAGACTCTACTTTTAATACTCTTATCTTAAGCAACTATATATATTAAAATATTTTTAAAATTTTATTCATGGACTAAAATGTTCTAGCACAATGTGTGCACTTTTTGTAGCTTAATAACATGTATTTCTCTATTTCTTTTAACCATGAATCTCATGGCATTTTATGCCAATATTTCTTTATGCAATGCAGATGTTTAAAGTAATAATACTTAAATATATTTATCAAAATAAAGGGCCTATATTGGTATTTTTATTTGTAGTCAAAGTTTTGTACATATAACCCCAGTTTCATCAAGTTTTTTTATGTGTGTGTGTGTAGGGAAGATCACCCCTGAGCTAACATCCGATGCCAATTCTCCTGTTTTTGCTGAGGAAGACTGGCCCTGGGCTAACATCCATGCCCATCTTCCTCTACTTTATACG